TGAAGATTCCAAATAAAATATTAATTGCTTAATCTTTACAGGATTTGTACGACATCATAAAAGCTTGATGTGTGCAATAATCCTAATGAATTACCCATCATCCTCCAGGGACTGAAGCAGAAACTGCAGCCAGGACTGAGCACAGTTATGGAACTGACCCTGGACACCTTTGACCACCTCAAACAGAAGCTTACCACAGCCAGGAACCCCCTGGAAAAACAATAATGAAGATTTTGTGAGCAGAAAGATTTATCAAAAACCATTTACTTAGAGCATGTTTTTCCAAAGATCTATGTTTATTTGAAGTTCATTGTTGGTGATGGTGAGTTAATGTTGTTCAAAGGTTTATTGCAGACATTTTCCATCACGAAAGTGAAACTTCGTGAGAACACACTCTTGAAAGTTTCACTTTCGTGATGGAAAATGTCCGCAATAAACCTTTGAACAACATCTATGTTTAGGTAAAGTTATGTAGCCAAACTTTTTACATATAATTATATGCAAAGCTCTTTACCATAATGACTTGATTGACTGATTGGAAAACTGAAAAATTGTGTAAAAAGTAGAAAAATTGTCTACTCTTCAAATATTCTGTAGGCTGGATAATCTCAATGAAATAGAATAGCCTACACAATAAGTTCTTGGGGAGATACTCACGTCATTAGATTTGATAACTGATTTCAACACAAGTTTTAAGAAGTTTCTCTTATCCTTCACTTTTCTTGCAACATAAGCGAAACTTTCAGCAGCAAAGTTGTTTATACACTGGGGCCTTGAAGAGCTCAGAAGAGGAAGGAGTTGCTCAAAAACAATATTCAAATCTCTAACTAAGAACCTCCAAAGATATTTAAATAAATATGCAAGACAAGTAAAAGTCCATTCAAGTTGGTCGGTGTCTTTGGTATTCAAAAGATTCAATATTTTTGTGAGCAAATTTGAGTAAAATGGATAAAACTCTTGTCTCAAGTCCTGTGCTAGAGCCACAATCAATCTGAAACATAATAAAATCAACTTTAAACACATTTAATAGAGCTTGAGATTCTCCTAGTACCTATAAAAAATCAAATAAAATATCATGTGGCACTATTATGATTGCAATGAGGCACGTGCAATGGTAAAACTGACTAGAACACTTAATAAGTTAAGTGTGCCTACGTAAGAGGAGCAGGAGGTCATTTAGATTCTGTGATGTTGCTATTCTTTGGGTATGTTGACTATCTAGGCATGTGTACAGTATTAACTCTGCTTTAAAAACGGTGACTGATGTTCTGTTGAGTGATTCAATTCTGAAGAATAGTACCAGTCCATCTGTTCTTCTATTCTCTTTCGCACAAAATTTTTAAGGGAATCTCATGCTAACTAGTGGAAAAACTGTAACTGAAAATTACTTAAAAAAGTTAACAATAATACTCAATAGAGCTGTTAGCTTACAATACAATGAGCCCTGCTGTGCTTGATCGTTGGTCTTTTAATGAATGGTCCTGGCTAATGAAACAGCTGATCTTTAGTCAGTAACAAAGCTGCACAAGGCATCTCACTTCATTCTACACTCATCCTTCACACATGTTTGGGTTAAAATACGCACCTAGGTTGTATCCCCATCACGACTGTTAATAATAATAATCTATACTTATAAACAAGGCAGCAGAGTTAAATCTACCATTATCAACAATTATTTGTTTTAACACCAGCAACACAGAGTATGATCTATACTTATGCTATAAGGCTATTTGTAAAAGTAGTCTGAAATTATTTTGGAAATAAAATTGTAAACCATACAGGCAAGTATAAGTTATGGTTAGAAAACTCAATGTTATTTTAAAAATTCAAAATCTCTAATTTAACATAGTAAACCAAGGCCTAATGATCCTAGGTGTTAAACTGCTTAGGGAAGAACTTTAAGTATTATAAGTTGTACTGTGACAAGTACTCACTCAAGACATGGTTGTAAGGAAAATGAATCAGCCTGTTCTAGTGATTCAGATAAAACTGAAACAATCCTCTCTTTCTGAGCCAATAACTGAGGCAAAGTTTGCACGTCATATCCAATTTTCTTCTTCAAAGCTTCATAGCTTTTAGCAAGGTTGAGGTCATTGCATTTTTGCAATGTTTTTTGAAAATGTGTTACACTGTCTTCTTCGTCAGTTTCATTCAAATGACCCACACGGTGAAATACATCAACATCAATGCTGGCTATCCGTTCGGAGAATGGCTGGAACTGAAAAGGAAAAAGCAATAAAAAATAATGTTTTTAATAACCGTACTACTTAGGCCTAACTTGTTTGTAGTTTAAATGGGAAAATTTCCGTAACAGGCATATGAAATGATGTCTTGTAAGTTAAAGGTCCTAATGATGCCTACTTATCTTTTTAAGTTTTTATTATAAAGACTAGTTTGATTTAAAGTTAAATCATGCACAGAAAGACAAAACAGCAAAAACTGTTTTGATTTGTAAAGTTAAGGCGACTTATCAATTTTGGTGCTAGCAAAATTAAACAGCAAAACTTTCATACCGTACCCAATTGTGTTATTGATAATTATAATTGATAGGCCTATCTTAAGTTATAAATGTTTTTTTACTTATTTTTATATACCGTATGTAATAGTGTTATTCTGCATGGTGTTTGAGCATGTTATTATTTTATTATTATGGACTGACCATTGTACGTCAAGAGGATCCAAGAGGATTATGGTTTTGGGGGTGCCAAGTATGGCTTTTGGTACAGAGGATACGCGTCCGGTAATCGGACGTGGATTAGGCGTCCGGCAATGACGTCACCGGGTTGTGGGGGCTCCAAAACGGCATTTTCACAACGATACGATGTACATCCATCAGTGTTCGTGGTGTAGTGGATAGAGTGCTCGGCTGATATGCAAGTGGTCCCTGGTTCGAATCCCATTGGTAACTTTAACTTTTTGTCAAAGATTTTGCTTTAAATTTCTTAACTGTAGGCCTACACCTTTTGTTAGAATTTTTTGCATAATTTTATTTTATGAACAGAATTTAACCTTCATTCAATTTTTTCATTATCAGCAAGTTTTGTTGGTTAGGTTATGACAGTAACTGCCAGACGCCTAATGCACGGTTACCGGACGCGTATCCTTTGCGTTTGGTAAAATTAAGGTTGGTTATTGATAGAATCAATAACTTAGGCCTATACTTGTTAACTTACCTCTCCAATAAAGTTTAATTCAAACTCAAAATCAATAAAATTGAATAAGTTTTTTTAGATTAAATTTGGAAAAACGCTGATACACGACGCCGATTAGCAAAATATAAAAGTATTCTTTTTGGTAGACTTTCATAGGCGGTATCCCAAACAACCGAATGAAAATATCAAACTTAAATAAGTAGCCTATACTTAAGGTACAGTAGGCCTAACTTAAACCGATGAATCAATTGCGCCTGTACCCCCTAGGTATATCGAATTTTGCCAACTATATTCTTAATTGAATTGCTATCAAAATTATCTTAATATTTTTGAAAATAACATAAACTTGCCTTAAACGTGTTCGAATCCTTATGACGTAGTGGTTTGTTCTTCATTTTTATAGCCTATTGAACTGTCATTCAGTTTTTGGCAACCCTTTACATTTATAAAATAAATAATAATTTCTAAAGCTGTCCAACTTAATTTTGTTAAAATTAAGTAAAATGACAATATGTAACTTAAATCCCTTTTAATTTTAACCTGACATTTTCACACTGCCGAGCCGAGTTGAGTACACACACATCACACATGTCTTAACCTAACCTATACCTATAAACCTGCTGCAGCGCTGCAGCTCGCACTTGCAGACGCAGCTGCTGTATTGTATTGTATATTTACTTTTTAGCAAGCTATGTTTACTAAACATGGAGCTGCATAAGTGAGAGTGTCATGCAGCGTTGAGTATGGAACACTGTGGAACACCACGTAAAATGACATTTATGTAGTCAATGTAATACTACACACCTTATTACAACGCGAAACGTCGGACTTTTGATGCCGTGGACGATTTTTTTGTATATATATATGTGTGTGTGTGTTTTGACGAGTCCCGGACATCAAAGACAAAAATAAAGGTGAGTAAAGCCCACACTAATCTTCGTGAATAAATAACACTTCGCCTAAAAGCATGTCGTTCAGAAACAGAATTTTTTACCTTTGTAGAAAACAAAAAGTATTATGTTATAGATGATTCTTCTGATTTTGTTAAATAGCCAAACAAATAAATATAAAAAATCACTTGCAAACCAGACATAAAAATACCATAAGTCACAAGTGTCCACTTGATCCAAAGATGACAAATCATTGATGGAGTATGTTTTTTTATTCGCGGTATTTACTAGTGGTAGTGGTAGTGGTAGTGTCGTAGATTAAATCATAGATAAAACCATACTCCCTTAGTAGATTTCTCATCCTTATGGAACAGCTGAAGACAATTTTATTGTTAGTTCATGTACGGTTTATGTAGAGGTCGTGTTTTGTTTACAATTTGTTTCCCGTTATTACAGCCATTTAAAACCTCGTTTAACCAAATAATACGATCTAATCATAAACAATAACTTGTCCCCTAGTTATATAACCAAACAGTAAAGCACAAATCAAGAAATTAACCCTAAAATAATGGAAACAAAGTTTCATCGACACTAGCGCCTTTGTGTCACGTACATGAACTAGACACGAAAAACGTGCTTCAAAATTTACAATGGGATGAGAAGTCTACTTGTGTTTGGTTAGTCTATGATTAAATGTATTGGAGCAAAAAATAAATAGTTCATATTATATGATACACAAGGTATAAAGTTTGAAATATATATACTGGTACTTCAACATAATGTTATACTCTTGTACTTTTTGCATACTCTTTGTCAGACCTTCGAGATCACGTGATCTATTTGTGATCCAACAATGAAAGGATGAAGTTCATTGATATTTCGACCACATTCTCATTCCTCCTGTTTCTCTGCCTCTAGTTAGTTATCCAAGTCAGCTGTCTCACTTGTGCAGCTCTGTGATATCAGACAACCAAAGGTCTTATGAACTGTATTATATAATTTTCCGCTTCCTCTGTGATCAGGTTATGTTTTGAATTTAAAAAATTAATTTGTTGTAAATTAAATATATTTTCAGAGTGTAAGTTAATGTATTATATTAATATATTTGTACAGATTAGTTTTCAATTATGCCTGGGATGTCACTTTTTCTAGTAATATTACTATGCTGTCTACTTCTTCTTTACATAATAATAGGAAAAACAAGACCACCTATGTTTCCTCCAGGTACGTAATTCTTTTATAGTTTTATTTCGTTTTAATCAGTTAGGGCTACTTTGCACTAAATTTATTGGTAGTAGCCTATTTCAGTTCTCTAAAACTGAAAATAGGCTAAAATATATAACCATATATTATCATCCATGTGAATTATGTAATGGTACAGTATTTGGTATTTTGTTCAAATATACTGTTAAAACTATAGTTAATATTTGTATAGGATAACATTAAATTATCTCTTGTTTAATGTAATTCAAGCAGAGCATCAGACTTATCTAAATTACTGACATTATTTCTATCATTCTTGATTTGTTATTATTATTATTATGCAACTCACTATCCACATTCAAACCTGTTGGTTGTGTACTCACATTCCTTGTATTAAAATCACTTTAAAGTAGAAAAAGGTCCTACCACAGTCACTGAAGGAAAAACCGCTGAAAACACAGCTTCACAAGCGACTGATAGACAGACCTGCTTACTCCTTGAAGGAATTCCTCGAATCCCATCTACATCAATAAATAACTTGCACTGAATTTCACAGCATATTGTTTAACACTTGCATTAAAATAACAATTTTTCACAGTCTTCTCTTAAACACTGTTTCTTGCAATTTCACAATCCATCCATGTAGGCCTACTAAGCCATAAAATTCCATGTAATGTAAACTTACTAGTTTTAAGTTATATTATTGTATGACGCCATTGTAATTTCTTGACGAAACTACAAATAAAGAATACAGTAAAAACTCTTTAATCCGAACTAATTGGGACCGGGGGTAGTTCGGACTATTGAATAGTTCGGATTACAGAACATATTGTTGCAGTGGCGTTGCTTGGTTAAATTCCAGGGGGGGGGGAGAAGCCTCAAATTTCCCAACTGCTTAACATAGATTTCCCAACTATTTTTTTTTTTATAAATCAATTTCTGTACTATTTTTAAAAATCTACAAATTATTATACTACACTGCAGTCACACTCAATTCAGTATTTATAAACTTGCATTAACAAAACATAGCTAGTTTTTATTTACATATATACAAAATTACTCAATTTCTAAAACTTCTACCAATTCATAATGAAATTTTATTACTTCAAAAAACTTGAACAAGTAATGTTTCAAATCCAAAAAACTTTACAAACCATTGTGGTAGCAGACGTAGCAGTGTAAAATTTTAGGGATATAAAATAAGCCTAGTACAAATTAGTATTGAAAAAATATTTAGTACAAAATAATGAAATTAAAATACTTTTAGAAGTTAAGATCAACATTTTAACTTTCGTAAAACTTACAACTAGGGTACCTAGGCCTAAACAAGTTTGTAATGTGAAATATTAATATCAGTGTTGTGAATAATATTATTCTAGTCTAGAAAAGAATAAACCTAAAATAAGACTTGTATAAAATAAAAACGTCCTACTTGGTTGATAATAAACTTATACATACAATAAAAATGTTAACCTTCATCTTCATCAAACTAGAATTTAGACAAAAATCAAACTTAGAGTGAAAGTCAAACATCAAATTTTAGGTTATGTTTTGTCCACGTAGATCTGTTTCAGAGTGATTAGTTGATTCATTTGTGTAAATCCTTAATTAGGAATGATAAATAACTTGTGTAGATTTTTTTAAATATATTCAGAGAATAAATATTTCATTTAGGCTATTAAAAAATAAGAGTTTTAAAGGTAGGCCTAATCGATACACAAAACCTATCTTTAATGTTATTTTAATCTGCTTATTAGCAAGTACTCCGGTCAGTTAGCCTGCTCCAAATACCACAAAAAAGGTATAAAATATATTTCATGTGACTGACGTGAAAAATATTTTTGAATTTCTTGTTAACAGTAACAAACAACATAATTGAACTGAAGAGCTACAATCGCTTGCAATTTCAAAATTCAAACTCGCAGACGAATCATTCAGAATCATCAACACAGAACAGGATCAAGGTAGCCAACATACGTCCAATAAGGAATAAAATTTCTCGTAAACGAAATTCCAACAAGCTATACCACTAATTGATTATTGATTTCTTAAAATAAGGCGTGTTTAGCCATGGTTTACCCTTGTTTAATCAAAGTTAAATGAAATCAAAGAAGCGTCAAGTTTATTTGTCCAAATCAAAGACATTTTTATCTTTGATGGATTTCCTTTCGCAAATATTTAAATTTTGTTTAGTTTAAAAATATATTTTTCTTGTATCTGACTTCCCAACTGTCCCAACTCGTGGCAAGGAAATTCCCAACTTTTCTCTTTCCCAGATTCTAGGGGGGGGAGGCTCCCCCCCCTACCCCCCCCAAGGCGACGCCCCTGTATTGTTGTTTATACATAACAATAGCTAGGGAAAAGTAAAAAATGCTTTATAAAGTAAAATACAGTGTTCATTTAATACAGTAGTAAACATAGGGAATGGACGGTACTGTACATTACAATTAAAATAATTACGGTACGTATATAAATAAACACAGTATACAATAAAGAACTACTGTACTGTGTATAGAGTACAGCAATGAGGCGTTCGGATTAGTGGACGTTCGGATTACAGGGGTTCGGATTAAAGAGGTTCTACTATATTTTGATTTGATTGATTAAAAACAGCTGTTTAAAAATAAAATTAAAAATTACACAATTGATATTATAATAAGCTGTAATTAATTACTCATTAACATACACTATTTTCAGTAACACCAAAGTTAGATCCCTAACTCTAATACTTTTTTTAGAAAAATGTACCTTTTAGGTTTAAAAAATTAAAATGGGATAGATAGGCGGGGGCCCCTTTAAAGCTGTCACCGGTTTTCAAACAAAATTGTCATAGTTGATGTGAGCCAACTAAGGGTACAGTTTATAGCGGAATCCGAACCAAATTTTTGCCTTGGTATTAACGAATTGGTCAAATTATCAGGATAGTACTGCGGATAGTCATAGTACTCACTAATGCGGACATTAATCCACACCAGAGAGTATCGCATCCACATACCTATCACACAGCTAGTAGTTGCTGGATTACAGGACAACGCCATACCGTCTCAGTCAATTTATGCAGTATATCCAGGTGTTGAGTAGGCTACACTATAGTGCGTTTAATCAGCCGTAGCACCTGACGGATTAGGAGACCTCTTGGAAACCCTTGGGGTCTCCTAATCCCTCAGGTGCCACGGCTGTTTGAACGCACTATAGTTGAATAAATGTTTTTAAGGTACCATGGAAAAGTAAATAAAAACTTAGATTTAATTTTTAAACTAGCCTATTTTAAATATCCTATCACAATACAAATCATTAGATTTCACCCTAATTATTATAATTTAGTCTGATAAGCGATAACGCTCCATATCCTTGCAGGGCCATCATGGTTACCATTGGCAGGAAACTCATCTTTAATTAAGCAACTGAGTATTCTCCATGGTGGCTTTCACAACGCTTTGAATTATTTATCAAAAAAGTATAAAACCCCAATTCTTGGTCTCAAGCTAGGAAGTGATTTGTTTGTTGTGGTGTTCTCAAAAGATTTGGTAAAGCAAGTGTTTACAAGGGATGAATTTCAAGCCAGGCCAGACAGTTATTTCATCAGACTTCGCACCATGGGCAGTAGAAAAGGTATTGTGGTGTCTTTCTTTAACATTTTTATTAAAACTGTAAGTTGGATGGGGTAATTTGCTGACAGAATAAATCCCAGAGCCAGATGGAAATTGTTACTTTCTGAATATAGCACACTCCTAACGTTGGTATTCCTATAGGTATGACTATTGAATTTTCTAAAATGTTTATTAGTGACCATTACTTTAATTAAATATGTTAAAAAATGTATTACTTATTAAAAAAACAGTGGGACTCTTTCGGAAGAAAATTAAGAGTTCTTGCTTGGCATCTCTTGCTACTTGAAGAAGCAAAGTTTTATGCCATTGTTAAAAAAAATTGTTAATATACCAATTTTCTATATACGGTAACAATTTTTAATCAGCTATAGCAATTAACAGAGACTTTTCCTTCCGTTCTCCTGGCTCACATTGCCGTTCTTCCCCTTTTTGCGTATTTGAGAGCGCACGATCTTTGGTGCTGTATGTAACAATTGTGGCATAAACTACTTCATAGGAAAGTGTTCTCTGGATCCTCTTTTTCTGTGCAAGACAATAAAAAAAATATGCAGTGAAAATTAATTTTCCTACAGTTACCTAACAATGTATATGTTCTCTCACTGATTTGAGAAAGCAAAGTGGCCAATTCGCTCACCAGTGAGACAATGTTAACATTGTCTCACTCCAGATTTGCAACGTGAAGGCACGAAATAGTGAGCGCGTAACATGCAGGCAACGTCGTATGCGCGCGAAATACGTTGGCAGCACTGGCTGTAAATCAGCTGGTCAGCTGTTGTACTGTTGTATTTGTCACTTCACATTAAATGTTATATTAAGAGGCGGCGGGAGCCAGCTCGCCCGAGCTCAGCGCTGCCCGCTAGTTTAACATGGAGCGGCGACACATTTTACTTATCTCAGGAAATATATAGACATTTACTAAAAAAAAGGAACACTAGTAATGTTTGTCACTACATATCCTACTATATAAAGTATAATAAACCATTATAAAGTTGTTTTTTAATTTTATATTCATGAAATACGTAATTTGATTTCCCATAAGGATATCGGTAAATTAGTTCAACTGTAACTAACATATATTTTAATATTTGTAATTGAAATTGGTACCATCACAAACTACAATATTTCAGTTTTTGTTTGAGTGTACCACATCTAAAAAATAAAATCTCTGAGTAATTAATTTGATCGTTTTAAAAAACCTTTGTCATCAAGGGTCCCGCAGCACACGGACAAGCGACTGAGGTAGTTCAGCGGTCTTACGCTAGGGTGCACTAGCGTCGCACAGTCTTGAGAAACTAAACACCCCAAGCATGACAGAGACAGATATTCCAATCACTTTTGCTGAAGCGGATGCAAACTGAAATTGTACAAGTTCAGTTCAATTTGTCTCTACGTCTATAGGGCAAAACTGGTCGCCATTTCATAAGAAAGTATAAAAGTATAAAGTAATTGAACTATAATTAAAAATAATTATACTTTTTACCTCCATATCTTAGTCAATACTATGTCAATACTAGTCAATACTATAAATTTTTGTTGTTTTATCCTTCGTATTCCTGTGAAAACAAAAAAAATTTAGCTCGTTTAGGAAATTTTGTATGACAGTCGGAAGGTAAAAACTCCCTGTTTTACAGTATCAAAAACCATCTTATGACTTTGAAAATTCGCACAATGTAAACTAAACGTCAGAACTTTATCAAACTTCAATACAATATAGGCACATATATAATGAATTTATTTGTGTAGTTTCAGAATTTTTACTCTACCAAAAAAGTTTTTGTTGTAACTTTTGTAAATTAACTTTTTCTCAAAAACGGCAAACGCTAGAAAAAAAATTAAAAGCTTGTTTTGGAGGTGATTGGTTTTGTATTTGAAATATTACTACTGCTCAACCAAATTGTTTCGCATATTAAGTTAACATTTAATTTGGATAGTGCAGAGGCCGAATACGGCACTTCCAGACCGCCACCGGCTCTGACTGGGCGCATACCCCGTACAGTGTTGCCAAATTGAACACCTGGACACTGAGCAGAGATGGGCTGCGAACTGTTGGGTCAAAACTGAACAGATTTAACACCTATATTGGGGTGGTAATACTTTCGACCCTTTAGAATAATGCAAAGCATGATATTTCCTGTGAGTCAGTCAGTGACACACACTGCGTGAATCACCTTACGCTCGGTCAAGGTCCATCGTGGCAACACTGCACTGGATTCCTGAGCGGGCGATGCCGTCTGCACCCCTTGCAGGCGCGAGATCATCCAGTTTTTTGTTAATTTATATAGATAACATGCGTAACAATTTGGTTGAGCAGTATCAGTATTTCAAATACAAAAACAATCACCTTCGAAACAAGCTTTTAATTTTTTTTCTAGCGTTTGCCGTTTTTTAGAAAAAGTTGATTTACAAAAGTTACAACAAAAACTTTTTGGGTCGAGTAAAAATTCTGAAACTACACGAATTAATTACATGTTTCCATATTGTATTAAAGTTTGATAAAGTTCTGCCGTTTAGTTTACATTGTGCGAATTTTCAAAGTCATAAGATGGTTTTTGGTACTCTAAAAACAGGCAGTTTTTACCTTCCGACTTTCATAAAAATTTCCTAAACAAGCTAAGAAATTTGTGTTTTCACAGGGAATAAAACAACGAAAATTTACATATACTACGTGCTTTTCTAAGTTAGTTGGTTACTTTTCTGTAGAGCTTGAAACTCGAGTGTCTAACCTTTTCCCCCGACAGTAGGAATGAGGAGTTCCAGGAAAGGTGCAAGAGAATATCTGTATTTGTTTATAGATTTCCTCCTTACCCTATCTCGGCGATTGTCTTTGTGGTTGTTAGCAGGTAGCATTGTTTAGTCTAGAACTGCGTCCTCCCAGAAATAATAGAGCCTCGAAACAGTAGGACTATGCCGATTATAAAAATTATAATATAATAATATAATATAATATGAATATTATAAAAAAATATAGAAATCCTGGATACATTTTGGAGGCTCAAGGAAAAGCCAAGAAGAGAACAGCATTTTTTAGGCTGATGTGGCATTTTTTGTATACTTTAAAAATAAAAACCAGTTGTGTAAACAGACAACATTGTTATAGTTTCAGCAGTATGCCTTGCGAGATGGTTCTTCGAAGGATTTGAATATGTTGATATGTTTTTACTGTACAAGACGAATTTACTGACATTATTGCCTGTATGGGGTTCTACAGATAGGCTATTTTGTCATACTTGGACCGCGCTCGCTTTAGTACAATGCGAATAGAGGAAGCGTTCGATTCCTAGACACGCCTGTACAGTTTGGCAAAAATGTGAAAGTTACAAAATAGGCGACCCTTTACCCACTCACTCGCACGGACACAATGGGACTACCTGCTGGGCCTGCCCTATCATCCGTTAGTGACGAATGATAATGTGGTTTACTAAAAATAAAATGAATACGAGTATGCCTCACATTAGGACATATTTGTAACGAATTTGATTAAAATAACATTTAACTCATGGATACAAAAATACTTACCCACTTTAATACAATACAATTTACTAAACAACACGTGTTGAAATCGTTCAACGTACATACCGTTTTTATTACATGAACTGTTCTTTTATACAATCTTAGACAGACAAGTCGTTTAATATCAATTATATTTAAAAATTAGTTTAAAGATTAGTCAAACTTGTTGTAACTTACGTTAGTACATATCGGTTTAGTCGTATTTACATTTTAGGAAATTATTTTTAAAACTCTTTAAAGCAATTGAAAGACTAGCTACTTACCAAATGTTAAAACTGTTCATGTGTTGTTTAGAAAGACTATTTTGTTAAAACTGTTTTGAAACGTATGTTAGTCAAATCTTAGATTTTAAAAATGGTTGATATAATTATTAGGATCTTTGATAAAATTTTAATCGCTCAAACAAACATTCTTAGGAAAAAGCTTCAAACAGATTTTTAAATACATAACGATAACTGTAATAAAACTTATATCTAAACATTGTTAAAAATGGTTTTAAAATAATTCAATCTTGTATTATCAAAGTTATATCAATGACTTGTACTACAATTGTTTCAATGTGGCATAGCAAGCTATAGGTCAGGTCAGACCCGACCAAACCCGACAAACATTCAGCTGTTATGATTTATAATGATGTCGAGGAAGGGCTACGTTACTATCTTGCTCGGTTCCTTGCGGTTATTCAGTGTTTTGTTTACACTGTCTGTTGTTCTCGAAGCCTAGGTTTAGTTCTGTCAATAGAGCTAGAGCACGTAACTCCCCTAGTGGCCACCGATAGTGGCGCTACCGCATCTCACGTATTGCAGGCGCTGCCAAAAGGCGAAATTTTCGCTGGCTCCAGCCGGCTCTTAAAAGTTAACTTCTGTGTAAAAATAGGTTATGTTTCTTCATGTTTCTTCACAAATGTTTTTGTTTTATGGTAACTGTAGGAAAAGTATAATGTGCAACTCGAGTTCAAAGTACAATTGCCTCACTCGAGAAACCATTCCTCACTCGCCTACGGCTCGTGAGTAAGGATTTCTCTCGAGTGAGTCAATTGCCCACTTTTCTCACTAGTTGCACAAATAACTATAGAATCAGTTGAACTGACCGAATATGATATTGTAACGGGATACTTTTCCAGGAATAACAATGACCGATGGAAGTTTGTGGATGGAGCAGAGAAGTTTCGCAGTGAAACATTTGCGTAGTCTTGGTTTTGGAAAATCACATATGGAATCTCTTATTGTAGAGGAACTTAAGGTAACAAATTAGTAAGGAACAAGTTTTTCTGCAATACTTACACCTAAATCAATACGCTCAAATATACTATTACACTACTCATGAACTTTATAATTTATGAATAGTACCTGACTACTAAGTCAATGATATTACATAAATCAAAGTAGGCCTACATAAAGTACATAAGTGGAGCTCCCAAACTACAACAAATTGCTAACAAGAAAATACTTTGGAAATGCTCAGACACAAAAGTAATGCCATAATTGAGTGACCGAAGTGATACTAGAATGTACTTGTATCGCACTTGATACTAACTTATTCATCTTGAGATGCACATCTGGGCCTTTAAAAGAAGATTGTAACCTAAAGCTATCTATAGCTTGTTACAGGACTTACTGATTTTTTGCTAACTTCTAAACTTTAGCTACTTTATAAAATTGTTGACCTCCATCTATACCTATTAATTATCATCGACACTGTTCTTCAGCTGACTACCAAACATTACCAGTTACCAACTGATTTTTAGCTATGCTTGCACTTGCATGACGCTAATCATGTTTTAAGTGAACATGATTAAAGTCACCCTCGATCACGGCAAAATCATCAACCTTTCCTGCCATCAAGGGGACATCGTTATCATCCCCCGCAATGGCGGAAAATTGTGAACATCTGCCATCACGAGTACACCGTTATCATTAACTGCAAACACGGAAAAATCTATAACTTCTCACTATGACAGGCACATTGTTATTGTTACTCACAAGTATGACGAATCATTAATTAATTTTAGAAAACAATTTGTTGTGTTAAAAAAGTTGTTGTAGGCTGCAGTCTAGTGGTAAGTTCGGCACTGTTCTTACCTCTATCTCGCGATTTCAACAAAATCCTGAACATTACCACAATCGACAAGACGTAATCATCACCTCCCCCGATTGCGACAGAATCTTGAACATCGTCGCGAACACCAAAAAACTTGTTGTTTTGTTACCCAGGACCGAGGCGAAATCGTAGCGTGACAACCAATATAAACAAACACTGGCATTTTTTACCAATCCTCAATTTTGGGTGTTAAAAAAAATCCAGTAAACCGACACCCAGCCTTAAAAATAGGGCTAATTTAAACCCTTATACAGTTCATTCCAATTTTTTTATACTGTACTAGCAGAGTACCCGTCCTTCGTACGGGGTTGGAATATATGTATAAAATGCTTATTGCAGTTAAAATACTCAAGCTTTGTGTTTGCAATAAGGGAGGACACCGGAGGACACAGTTTGATAAAATTTGCTTTTTTAAATTTACAGTATTCTAAAGTACACGCATCTACCATAGCCATAATGTTCTACCACTTCACCTAAACAATAGAGAAAAATAAATTATCAACAATTAGCAAAATATCACAAATTATTCATGAAATGAAAAACATAAACATAACTGTAAACAATCCTACTTTGACAGTTCTCATTGCGAATCACAGTTTTTTGTTGCTGCTTTAGTTCAAACTAGCTGTGTACCCGTTCTACGCACGAGGATCTTTTAGTATTCACTATTCAGTTGAAACTTTCATATATAAAAACAGCAGTTGGTTTGCACATTTTCAGATATGCTGTCCACACTATTATACATAACATCATTTTATGTTGTTTTTGTTGTTGTCCGGATCGGTATGACAATCAATAAAAGGTTAAATTACCTGTGTCCGCCGGTCGATCCTAATGTATCCGATTACAGGAGAATAGGAGATGCATTCCTAATATAAGGTCTTGAGCCCCCCCCCCCCCCCCATTAGGTGCGTTTTGGAGTTTTTCAGTTTTTGAAACACATACACGAACTGTACACTTATACACATGACAAATCTTACTAATATTATAAATGTGAAAGTTTGTGTGTTTGTTTGTGTGTTTGAAGTTCAATCACGCATAAACCACTGGACGTATTGGGCTGAAATTTGGCATGATGATAGCTTACATTCCCGATTAACATATAGGCATATTCTTATCTCAAAAATCCTTTCGGGCTCCGCCCCAGTGGCTCTGTAATTCCCCATGTTAACCTTATGAGCATTCATATTTAAAGGGAATTAAAGAATTTAGTCAGCTGTTTCAACTAAAAAAGTTGGTTCTATGATATGGAAAAGCATTAAAAAGTTATAAGATTTACCAACAGGGTGCAGCACTATATTTTTTTGCATTTATGAAAACAGCTAATTTGAACTAAGCAGCAACAAAAAACTGTGATTCGCAATGAGAACCGTCAAAGTAGGATCGTTTACAGTTATGTTTATGTTTTTCATGTCATGAATAATTTGTGATATTTTGCGAATTGTTGATAATTTATTTTTCTCTATTGTTTAGGTGAAGTGGTAGAACATTAATGGCTATGGTAGATGTGTAATTTTTACTATAGAATACTGTAAATTTAAAAAAACAAATTTTATCAAACTGTGTCCTCCCTTATTGCAAACGCAAAGCTTGAGTATAACTGCAATAAGCATTTTATACTTATATTCCAACCCCGTACGAAGGACGGGTACTCTGCTAGTTAAACATAAATACACGGTATGCCAACTTTTATTCTTACTATGGACATGTATAGACGTGCGTCGGTCGTGTGCCGAGTCTCGACTGAAAACGTTTATTTAAAAAATGTAAGTTTCCCAGCCATATACAACACTCATTCAAGGTCTTTTCCCCGGTTATCAAAACTCAAGAACAATTTTATACACAAAGAATCTCTATTTTCATTTACGGATACACTACAAGTTATTGCACTTGCGATTAATTAAATCCTTTATGTAAGGAAAAACGTTTTTAATCTTACTTGGTGTGGATTTGTCTTCAAAACGTGATCGGAATTGGTTGCGGTATTTGTAAACAACATTCAATGTAAACATATCAGTGACAGCTAGAAGAAATAATCTTGATTCGAACAGCTGTTTGTTATTTCATAGATGAATATGTGATGAACATTGGGAAAACTTTAAAAAAATCGCACAGAATTGGGTTTTTAAACGTCTGTCATTTTATTTACAAAGTAGTGACGCCATATTTTATTGGCTAAAGACAATCTCGCCAATCGAGTGAATACATTAAAATGATTTGGAACTTGATAGGTACTCTCATTTTTCAGGAGTAGGCCGCGTAAAATGGCTCTTGGGCCGTAACAGACAGGAAGACAGACAGAAATTTAGATGAGACTTGTTTCGGTTTCTTTAATGTATAAAACATAAAAATAACCTAAAAGTTTATGATTCTGAGCAATGTACAGACAAAACTTTAATTTTATTTATATAGATGATATAAAAAAGCAATAAAAAATATAAGTGTGTCTCTTACACAAAAAATTCCTGGATCTGCCTCTGCTTGTGATGGTTTAGAAAATTCCACAAATTCAGATAGAAGTTATAGCAATTTAATAAAAAATATAGACGTCAATCAAGGAGTAGATCAGGGGTTGGATGGCACAGACGGCGGCGCTCTACTCTACACACGCCTGTAAATACAGGGAACGACTTTGACCTTGAGCAGTCATGTCCTCCGCTCCCATCCCTGCACTACCTGGATCATATAAATATTTTCTTACTTAAGAAAAGAACCCTTTTCATTGTATTGGCTAGACCACTTTAGTATGCAGAAACTTTTTGTATAGTAAAGTTAAAATAAATTACATTAATACTTTTAAATACGTTCTTACTTTATATATAGCAACCTCAATTTTCTCGCTCACAAAACTTTCCGCCCGCAGCAAACACGTCCCTCATAGCTGCGGCCCTGGATGCTTACCATACTAAATTTTGCGTTTTATTGCAGGACTTGCTGAACTTATTGACCAACGCAGGGTCGTGTGCACCTCTCAGCAGTTTGTTGGCTCCCTGTGTGTTGAACGTGTTGTGGGCAATGACAGCTGGTAGTCGCTTCTCTACAGACGACCCTCAGTTGACAAGGCTACTAGAGCTGATGGCTCTACGAAGCAAAGCATTTGATATGGCCGGTGGAATTCTCAGTCAACTTCCGTTCTTGGCCTACATCGCTCCCGAGTGGTCAGGATATAACCTCATCTGCTCGTTGAATAACGAGTTAAAGTTGCTCTTAGAGGTATAATTACGTAATTCTTATAGATCTACCACTTTTATCAAGCAAATCTTTAATACCTAGTGTTTTATCTATTATTTGTTTTAAGATAGAAACAACCACAATGGAGCTTTAAAAATACTTCTTAAATACATTAAAACAATATTTGAATGATATTTGATGGCAATGATATTTTCTTTTTTTCTAGAAAACCATTATGGAGCACAAGGATAACATGGGAGATAATAATGTGCGAGATTTTATTGATGCTTATCTGAAGGAGATAAGCTCATCAAATGATCATTCATCCAGCTTCTCAGGTATTAAAGTAGGCCTAGAACTATAACTTGTAAATACCTGCATTTATACCATCCAGTTTGTAGCTGAGTATTTTTATTTTATTTTTTATTTTTATTTTGTGTGTCTTTACGCCAGTGGCATTTTTTACTTTTTGAAAGGGAACAGTCCAAACTCTGGTCATGACTATCTAACGTTGACCTTTTTGTTAGATAGCATCATTAATTCATTGCCCAATGGCAAATGGCATCTGGGTCTGGAAACGATCTTGCTTGTATTCGAACCAGCATCCTTCAGATTTGAAGGCGAGCACTATAACCACTTGACTACTACCCAGACAATCAATGATCAATCAAGTATGAGAGCATAATGTCTAGATATGTCAACTCATACAGCTACAAACTGGATCACATAAATACAGGTACACCAATTTATAGTATTTAAATGCGATAAGGAGGCTAAAATTCAATATAATAAAGTATCGTAGTAAGTACAGGGTGACCACAAAAGATTAGTACAATTCCATACATTAGCTACCGTACACTGTTACTTTGTAACACACAATGTTATACATTTGTTTGTTGTATCGGTTACATGCTAACGTTTAGTTTTAACGATATTTTTTTGCTGAATTTGTTTATTCGAATAGGTATTTGACCTAAAATAGAAAACGTTGACAAGCATTTAATGAATGAGGTCGGTATACTGGATTTCTAGTTTTTTTCGACATCACACTGTGTGATTCCTCCTTATTGGGCAAATAAAGGATTGTCTAATTATCAAAATCATCTCAGTTGATGCACTAAGAGGGATAAGTATGAATGCCTTCCTCTAGGATTCCAAATAACGCCATTACCATTAAAATTCACGTTTAAAAATCGTTTTTTTTATTTTGTTTTAATCTTGGAGAAATGCTTTTATAATTGTCTTCCTTAACTGATCAACTGGGGGAGCGAGCTGGCGTAGTGGTTAGAGCGCGGGACTTCTGTTCCTGTGATCCCGGGTTCGATCCCTGCCAAGTCACCAATGGATTTTATCTAATAAGTGATAAAGCCGCAACCCCTAGGTCTAGCCTGAAGTAATGTGAAAAACAATCCCAGCGTGCTAGGAAAAAAAAAACTCACCAACTGAGAATTTGTCTGGAAGTCTATGTCCCTTATTTACCATACAATAAGGGTAAACCCTGTCATAAGGGGTACTGTCAGGATATTAAGGAAGTTAGTTTGTTTGCCAACCTCAGCTATACCTGCTAGTAAAAAATTCAAATTTAAGGTCACAATATCTCTTCCGACGAGCAAATTTGCCAAAAATTTTGTGTGTAAAACAAAATTGTGGTGTGTGGCCGAAACGACTCACACAGGTAGAGCATCGTACGGTAAAAATTACTAAATGACGTAGATATGAAATTGTACTAATCTTTTGTGGACACACTGTATTTTGAATAGGTATTGTTGGTGGATTGGGCTTGTTTTCCAAAAGTTAATAATTTACAAACTTACTTTTGTAATGATTTTTTACTATAGGCTATTTTTTGGGAAATAGATCAATAACCAACTATTCTTTTTTGCTTACAGTACTCTATAAATTTGCATTCTCAACCTTCAATTTTATTCCTCAAAGTCAAATGTAAAAGTAATATTTATCTTCAACGATAATTAACGTTGTTTTTCACAAAAGTTTAAAATTACAAATAGTTTTTACATGCTATTTCCCTAAAAAATGTACATTAAAAATGTTGTTCTACAAATGTTTACCTCATATTGTGTTAAAAAATAGCTTTTATTGTCAATACCAGCTTCCTATTACCCAGCTCTTTTGTAAAATTTTCTTAAATTTTTTTGTTTTACAAAGTATTTCATCGCTGGTTAAATACAAAACTGCAGCAGGCTTATAGGTAAGCTCCACACTGCTATGGGATGCATTGAGTTTTATTGGAAGAAGGGAGTGTGCCAAGTTGGATTTACAGTCTCAAGTCGTTTGGGAGGAAGGTGAAATCAATCTCGAAACATTCTAAACATTCTTCTCATTTCTTCTTCTTCACTTGGTTTGCATTTTGTGGGTGCTGTGAAGCAGGGAAGGAACTATAATCCCTATTTTCTTTCCAACTGTTTCCCTGACAGTACAGGGCCCTGTTACCATGAGCTGAGCTGCTACCTATCGAGACTAATGCAGAACTATATCTCCCAAACATAAATTTTAAAACAGTAAAAGTGTCATGCTATGGCTCTGCTATTGGTTTAGTGTGTCAAATAATTTCCTATGACTCTATATACATATTCCATTCAAAACTGATTCTTTCTCAGGTGCATGGCGAAACCACAGAAAATGTATTAAGTGGAACCACCATGCCAAAGAGTTGAGATCTTACACTGACATTCCTTGAGCGTTCGGGAGTAACCTAGTATTTGGCCTTCACACATATTTGTAGATATACACTGTACACTAATGATGTCAATGTGTTTTTTTATTTTTCAGAGGATCAATTGATCATGGTTTGTCTTGATTTCTTCATTGCTGGTTCCCAAACAACAAGTAACACTTTAGCCTTTGCTTTCCTTCACATGATCCAAAATCAAGATGTACAAGAGCGAGTTTATTCTGAGATTAAAAGTTCATTGGGAGAAAGAACAATTCCATCACTCGAAGACAGAGCAAGGTATCATCATGATTGACTTTGGTTGCTACTAAAATATTATTTAATTTCATGCAATTAATCCATTATTTCATTTCATTTCATTACTATGGTTAACCTTTTAGTGTAGATTTTGAAGGTTGTCTGTTTTGATGAGGATTTTCTGTTTGGTAACACTTAAGTTTAAGTGTGCTGATTTCTACAAAATGTTTCTTTTTTATTTCATTTTAATAAGTTTCCAGAGGAAGGCCCTAAGATCATAGTGGTGGGGGAGCCAAAGCTGTTTGCAACCCAGAACACTATTTACCCTAAACTCGGGCCTGGTTACTGAATCATAGGGGCCATTATGAAAAACTGAGCAAAGTAAAGAAAAACAACCACAAATAGAGAAACTAACTTACAACTTTTGTTTGCAACTCACTGCAAAAACTGATTGCTTGCTCTCTAAATTTGTCGGTGTGTATTTTCTGAATTTATAGTATATGTTGATAAAATATTAACCCATACCTGTTTGTATATACTGTTGTAGATTACCGTATGTAGAAGCAGTGCTGGCAGAATCACAGAGGTTTCTTCATGTGGTGCCTGTGGCTGGTCCTCGTAGAGTTCTAAAGGACACAGTGCTTGGAAAATACCATATACCAAAGGTAATTTTAAACCTCGATATACACTATCCCTAAAATGCAGGGGTTGCAAAATATTTGTAATCTTATTAATTTTGAACAGAAAATGAAATAGATTTATAAATACTCATTATTTCTCAACTTTTTTATTGCTTCATAATTTTAGTTTTCCAACAGTGATGCTTGCATGTCTTGTACTTAGTGGTACTGTTATTCAAACCATAATGGGGGACCATAAGTAGTTTTAATTTAATTTTTTATGGAGAAACATTTAAGCAAGTTTACTGATTTTGCAAGATTTTTTATAGCTACTGTCCCAAGAATCATTTTCAGAATCCTGGGATGTCAGCAGCAAAGTTACTAATCACACTGGGCAGTAATCCTGTTGGTACGGCATTCCTAGTTATTAAAACTGTGTAAAGGGCTTACAAAGTTAACGTTAATGTTTGTATTTGTTATGATTGTAATTTTGTAAGTGGTTGATATATCATTGTTACAGGATACCACAGTGTTGCTCAGTTTACAGTCTATTCACCATGATGAAAATACCTGGGAAGAGCCAAAAGAGTTCAAACCTGATCGCTTCTTGAAGGAAGAGAACAGAAAATTAATGGACGAACTGTATCAATTTGGAATAGGTGAGTCTTTTCAACTTTTTTATTAGGTTTACTCAAAATTAACTAAGCAGGTGCACATTTCAATGTAAAGGAGAAATAATGGATATCATCATGGATATTTAAATGTTACACTTTATAACCAATAAACAACTAATTTTACTTTTATGTACGTACACTAGATTATTGGTGATAAAATAGTAAAATAGATTCATTCAGTTTCAGAGGCCTATTCTTACTTTTAACTTATTTTTTCATATACTTTACAATTGCATAGAAAAAGTGAGAGGAAACAACTTTAATGTTTCTACAGTAGCAGGAGGATGACATATTCTGTTACCTTTCACCTTCAAAGCCACTTATATGAATGCATCTGTGAGTTCAAATAATTTATTTCACATCAGAAGAACGTACAACAGTAAAATGTTTCCTTTTGCTTCTATTCTAAAGAGTTCAAATAAAACCTGCACATATAGAACCGATAACCTTCCTTTTAGTACCTACAACCCGTGTGTAATTTGGTCCAGTAGTATGGTCAGGCTAGCTGTCATAAGTTTTGCAAAAGTTTTTTTTATATATTATATAATATTTTATTTGTTTTAATGTATTCTCTTGAAGTAAATTGGAGTGAACACAGTATAAATTTAAGATATTTTTTCAAGCAATTTGATTGTTTATAACAATGATTTTTTCAGGTAAAAGAAGATGTCTTGGTGAAGCCTTAGCAAAAAATTTCATATTTCTATTTTTTACTGGAATAATGCGTAATTTTCACTTAGGAGTGGAAAATGGAATGGATCCTTTAAAATTTGACTATATACCTGGAATAACCCTGTCACCCAAACCTTACAGTGTTCATTTAACACCTAGAGAGAAATAAGATCTATATCGTTTGGTAAAGGTAATGTCAAGTTAAACGAAAAATATTTTTTGTTTGCAGTTTAAAATATTTTGTTGATGGAGGAGTGGACTTGAAAGATTCAATCCGGTTTCTTCAATGCCCAAAAGTAGTTTAGTAAAAATGCCTTGAGCAGCTTTGTTACTGACTAAGATCATATACGATTTTTTAGCACAGATGGAGAATTTATTTGGGTTCAGTTTCAATTAAATATCAACATATCAAAAACAAGAATTAAGTGAAGGCTATTTAGGCTATTATAAAGTTTATATCAAAATTAAGACTATCAATAAATTGGCTGGTTGATGGTTAAAACCAACTAATAGAATAACCTGTATTTTTGTTGCGAACCCCTTTCTGAAAAATTGTAGAGCAGTTAAGTAGGCGGAATTTATAAAAACTTACAAAACAATTGTTTTAAGGAAGAATAACCTAAAGCCGGGTTTTCCTAGGCGCGGAAGTGGAGAGCGGCCTAGGCGCGGAAGTGGAGAGCGGAGAGAGGAACGTAGAGAGCGGACTCCATTCGTCTTAGGTAATTTAATGTTACTGTTTTCCTAGAAGCGGAGCGGACCACCATGTTAATTTTTTTTCCACTCTCCGCTTCCGCGCCTAGGAAAACCCAGCTTTAGGGTAAAGGAAAGAATCTGTAAAGACTTAAATATTCAGAGGAAGGATAAATTAGGCTCAATCGATCTAACAGTATTTTTAGGAACAATATTTATACAGTATCGTTCAACACTTTTGTATTACTATAAAACATTTTATACAAACAGTTTTTAAACATCATTAAGTTCCACCGATGTTAACCTTTAACCTCATATACAAAACTTGTTAAAACATGTAGTATAGAATAAAGTTTTAAATACCCAATGGTGTTCATTCATTCAACCCCTTGAAACCTTTTTTTTTCAGAAAAAGTATTTTGTCTTTCCCAGCACTGTTTTTTTTTTTTTTTAATATATTTTACCTTATAAGGTTTAACTTTTATTTTTAACAAAAGATTAGGTCGAGGCTTCAGATTTGGAAATATCAAGAAACATATTTTACTATGAAACAATTATGAAAAATATTCAAAGCAATTCTTAAAACAACCTAAAATCACCATCACCAACAATGAACTTCTAACAAAGTATTTTCTTCAGCACTTTAATCTTCTCCTATACGAGGCACTAGTTGACATTTGAACTGCGGAGGAGATAGGGTAGCTCCATCAACAGCTGGTGCAGTCGGCAATTTCTCTCCAAGCGGTATGGTCAGTTTGAAACAATGTAACAGAGACGCCAAGAACAAGAAAAGACTCGGTTTGGACAAAGTTTCACCCAAACATCGTCTGCGACCTGAAAAACAATAGTAGATTTGAGATAGTTTCCATGAGTCCATATGCACATATGAATAGCATATACTGTTCATAGTTATGTTGCTTTTAGTTCCCTACTCAATTAGTTTGCAAGTACTGAATACACACAGTCAAATTTAAAAGACTTTGAAATTGGGATACAGCTGATCCTAGAGAATAGGAATATAACTGCTTCAGCTTTACGGAGTGCTCCAGATCACAGTACATTATCACAAAGCTAAAAACTGTAATGCGCATCCAATTGTCTATCCAGAAAATATCAAAAAAGCGGATCCCCACAAAAGAGAAAAAATAATCCTTCTTCACAAAAAGAATCATTACATGTTAAAGAAGCATCTTTCAGCTAAGAGAAAATTTCCCTGTATTGGAGATAAAAAGAATAACCATAATTCTTTTTTTAGATTGTAATTTAAAACACACAATGCCAGATATTTGTAGAACATTTTTTTAATAGGTATACCCAGCAACATATTCCCAACAGTTTGTTTTAAGTAAAAATTTATAATTTTTATCTTACAATTTATTTTAAGAGTTTTAGTGACAAGCTGTGTACGTACACTCATTATGTGGTGTCAATAATTGATATATCTTTCTTTATTAAGTGATCTCAGGAATAATTTCATTAGATTTCTCATGTTTTGCTTTTAACTATTTTGCCCTAAATTGTATAAAATGTTTTTTAAGTTTTTTCTTTAATAGACAAAAAATTTCTACTTCAGTATAGGTATCATTTGAATATTAGCTGTTCTAGAAATTTAAGAAATAACCTTCACAGAAGTGCAGGTTTACAAACATTAATGTTTTTTTTTACACTACCTAAAAATAAGACGTTTGTGTTAAATATACTATTTATAGGAGATCTATCGTACTTACCTAGACCAAAAGGAATAAAGTAGTCATGTTGAATTATCTTGCCGCTTTTATCAATGAATCTTTCTGGTTTAAATACCTCTGGATCTTTCCAGTAAGTTGGGTCCATGTGAACACTAAACAAGTTCACAAGTATAGTTGTGTCCTATTGTAATGAGAAAAACAATTACTTTTTGTAATAAATTGATATTTTAAAATTACATTTTGTAATTTCCTCTAAGCATCTAAAACCAAAAGTGCCAACCAAGATTAACTTTAATATTTATTAGAGGAAGTTATGACAGAACTTAACAAGTTTTTTTGCCAATAATTGTTCAAGGTTGGTCTTAAGCAAAGGGCAGTTTCACGTCTGCAAAATCAAAGGTATTTTTTTATTTTTCAAAATTGTTAGCCTCCGGATTTAAAAGATATACTATGGTTAATGTCTGATGATGGCTACATTGTGGGCGGAAACTAGGCGCCTCAGCAACCAATTGGATTACCGACAGCAATAATACAGGTATTTTAAACCACTTTAAGGATTTTTTGTTATACTAAACAGTCGTTTTGGCCTAGCTTTGGATTGGACTGATCTAGCACACTAATCAATCCAGAGCATTTACTCTAGACACTTAAGAGTCCATAGAGGCTAGCGGCCATCTTAGATAATTTCAAACAGCTGCTGAAGAGTTAATTATCATCCAAAAATAGTTTTTCAAACACCAAAGTGATTATAGTTTAAATACTATACGAGATTAAAAATTATATTTGTTGTTTTGAATTGATTTCCAAGGGAGTTCATGGAAGCCAACGACCATCTTAGATTTGCCCGCCATAAGAGCAGTTAACTTTGTTATTTTTAAACAGCCACTGAAAAGTTATTTACCGTCTCAAAATATTTTTTCAAATTAAAATTTTCTTTGTATTTTTAAAATTGTTTTATGAGTTAGAACGCCTAGGCTCTGAGGACTCTTAATTTACATCTAGCTGTGGTAAAACTTACTTTAGCAATAAATTGTAGGTACTTTTTGTAGCCTGGTTTCAAAAACTAATTTTGTAATTGAAAATTCCACACTACTTTAATGGTTTATGCTAGCAAAAATCATAACTAACAAAAATGTTGTTGTCGGAAATAACGTAACAAAAGTTATAAAAATGTTTCTTACCTCAGGAATGCAGTACCCATTTAGCAAAGTTCTTCTTTTTGCTCTGTGCGGAGGTGTTATTGGGGCAACATTTCCTAATCTCTGAGTCTCCATAACTATTGCTTCAATGTAAGTGAGGCTAAAAAGGTAAAATGTATGTTATCGTCATAAGTACACTTTTTTGTGGTTATCAAATTTTGTCTGTGTCTACTGTGGGAAAATAAAACTCTTCAGAACTTTCTACAACTTAGTTATATTTTACACTAAAAAAAAAACAGGACAACAAAACGAACCTTCTCTAAACATTAATTCAACTCAACACCCATTAGTCACCATGACAACCGAAATATCCAAAATCGTAAACATAAAGGACACTAGTCAGCTGATGCTAGTTCACAGCTACACGCCCCCGTGGTGTCAACACCACCACACGCCCTCGAGGTGCCGACACAACTTACACTTTCATTTTTACTTTCAACTACTTTTCGCACATCTGCTATGTGATGAGGCCTGCCATTTACTTCAACACTTCTGGGTGAAAACTGTCCAGTAACCACTCCTTCCTTCCATCTCGAAGTACAGGATGGGTTTGGCGGCTTGACATACACACGTTCACCTACTGTAAAATGTGACCCTTCATACACTTCACCTTTTACAGGTTCACCTTTACATCGCCATTGGTACAAAAAAATCTGGGAACTCGGCGATGAATCGCCACCTAATCCTTCTTTAGGTGTCAAATTGTACCAATAGACCATTTCTTGGATACTCCCTTTAGTTCTTGCGGCCATACGCTTGATTGTTCTGTGGTTTCGCTCAACTATCCCGTTTCCACTTGGCCGGTTGACACACCTAAACACGACTTTAATACCCCATTTATCACAGAGCTGAGTAATCTCTTCGCATCGAAATGTTGCACTATTGTCCATCAAAATCTCATGTGGTGGCCCTCGATCAGTAAACAATTCCAACAACACTTTAGAAATCTGATCTTTCGTCTCTTTTGGGATCCGGCGCCAAATATGCAAAACCTACTTGGACCACAGTCCACAATGGTCATGAACTTGCTTTGACCATAGTGTGTTACGTCAATGGCAAGCCTATACCAATTGTTCTGGCAATCCAAATACCCAGGCTCCCATTTGATGCTGGATGGATCAATTGACAGACACTCTTTACAACTTTTCACAACTTCTTCAACAACTTTTGTGGTAAAGTTAATGTCTGGGTGACACCGTCTGGCGGTGAATAAAGTACGGTTAACACCAAAATGATGCAAGTCATGAACCTGTTTCACCAATGTCTTTTGGTCCACACTCTCATTCTCACACACAAGTGCAATGCTAGTCTCTTCGTTTCTTGCTAACCATTTTTTTGGCACTCTTGTAAGAAGATCTGCTTTGTTGAGCTGTGACTTATGAGTTCTATTTGTACATTGAGACCGCATTCCAAAATAATGTCTTTAAATAGGCTTAATCGTCTTCTAACCAAAACTTCACTTAACCCATGTGTTTTGATAGGACGGTCCCCCGTCAGTATAGATGACACCCAAGCATGAACTGTCGCTGAATCCGTGATTAATACGATCTTCTTTAACCCCCAACGCAGGGCCAAATTTACTCCTTTTAGGATAGCTTCCAATTCTGCTAAATTGATATGTGCTGAATCATGCTGCTTCCTCAGCTACGAAGCATCTTCGACTATCTCACCTTCAATTTCTAGACAAACTCCGATCGCTAGACTGCTTGCGTCACACCACACTTTTCCTTCTTCTCCAGGGGACACAGCCCATTTGCCAGTGGCTGGGTCTCTTTCATCGATTCGATCCATAATATTTGTTAACATAGTTTGCGCACGTTCACTGATCAAATCATCCCACTTCAGATCCGACAAATGTCTCTTAACGTAACTACATGCAGGTCGAAGCCAGCTTGCTACTGGATAGTGTCCAATCAATTGCCCACACAACGAGAAAACATCTTTCTTTGTTTTAACTTAGTCCAAAGGTTTTAATTTGTTATCTCTGTACCACATTAGCTTACATCCTGCTCTTCTCAGCCTTAGTCCTAATACTCTGCCTCCATCAAGCGTTTCTGCCGGCTTTGCTGTCAAACCATATGTTTCCAACAAGCTAATCACAACATCACTACTGACGATTTCTTCATTAACGACGATGTCATCGACATATGAATCTGTGGCACTCCTAACTATCGGATCCATCGATAAAACCTTGGTTAACAATACTGCTCATAATCTTTGGGGCAACGTTTAACCCAAACCCAAGTCGAGTTAAACAATAGTTTTCACCCTTAAATTTGACAACTTGAAATTTCCACAAATGTGGAGCAATATGAATTTGCAAGTACGCTTTACGAAGATCAACTGTACTCACATGTTCACCCAATCGTCTCCACAATCTTAACTTTTCACTACAAACCTCACTTCCAGCTGTATGGCTTGAAACGAATTGGTTAAGTTCTCTATAGTCCATTACAGGCCGCACTTTATC